GTCAGTCTTGTCTGAAAACACAGTAATTTTAAATAGTCACTCCTGTTTTGGTAGCGACTGAGGGAGAAAAATCAATAGTGTGGTGGAAAGCTCTAATGACCAAGAATATTCTAGGATCTGAAATACTTGCGGTTTTACTACCTCCCATTTCTGTAGCTCCTTTAATGTGTTTACAGCCCCCACTACTCTAATTAGACACTCTTGTTTGTCTAGTTTCCTTCTCACAGGCTTCATTCTTTTCAGTCTTCTTCACTGCATCTACTTTCATAAACTCTCTCCTCCTTAGGCCCAGGGGACTCTTCTCAGTTTTCTCCCTCTCTCACTTGCATTCCTTTTCAATTTCCTTCCAGTGTATCTTATTTCACTTGTCCAGGTTTTACATTTGTCTCCCCCTCAAATATGAAGTGCCTACTTCGAGCCTACACCCAGGATGTGACAAAATGATGAACAGGATGAAGTCAATGACCACTTGGAGCTTAACATTCTCAAACAGTGACAGTCATCTAGGTAATACCTTGAAGGAAATAAAGGGATAGACATAAATAAAGTGGAAAGCTAACTTAAAGAATAAAGTGGAAGCTAATTTAGCCCTGCTGGGGTAGTCCCAGTGAATGTAGGCCCCAAAAGGCTAGAGCAAAAGAACAAGGTAGAAAGAGTGGAAACAAGAATAGGGCTGGGTCTGGAGTTTGGATTTTAGGAATGTTCCATCTGGTAATTTGAAGTTCAGTGGGCATTTTCTAAGGTTTTCTATAGACCCTCCCTTAAATCTTTTTATAAACTTTTCTTGTTCATTTCTTTTAATAGCTTTAATTATTCCCTTTGAGAAGTTACGTCTCAGATGTATTTGTGGCTAAAACTGTTGCTCTGAATAACAATTCTGCATTTCTCCAATGAATGCTGGAAAGTTCTACCAGTACTTCAGTGAACATGAATATAACAGACTAAAAATACTTCCTGACTCACAAGGGTATAGTAGGACCAAGCCTGTCATTGGGCAGTGAACATGATAAACAGTCAGTTGACCTGAAATTGCAAAAGCACTAAGTGGATGGAAACTGGAGTCAGGAAGAGTTCAGAATGTAAGTGGGGGAGCAGGTGAGAGTCAGGACATGCAGCTTTGAGAAGTCACATTGTCAAGGACTTAAAAGAGGTTAAAGAGGCATGTGGAATCCTAGAGGAAGAAGATTCCAAAAACTGGTGCTGAGACTTTAAAGGGAGAACTGACTGAGGTGTTTGTTGATAGCAGGGAGTCTTTGTGACTGCCTGGAGTCCCCACTGACAGAGCAGATGGAGCCTAAGAGGTGACAGTGTCTTGAAGGTGGCAAGTCTGAAATGAGAGAAGGAGCGGTGATTATTAATCTGAGTGAGAAGGGAAGCTGCTGGAAGGTTTTGAGTAGATGAGCTTACATTTTTTAAAGGCACCAAATATTTACTTTTTTCCTGTCATCATTCTTAAATTTGTTCCTTTTTTCCTTTCTCTTTCCCCCTTTTTCTTTTCAATGACATTCTTGTCACTTGAACTTTAGCCTCTTGTTTGCTTGATATCTGGTCTTAGACCTGGTACTACATCATCAGAAATCTGAAAGTAACACTTTGTCCTAGCCTGTCTGATCATCACCCCTGTCCTCCCATTTCTGTAGGTTAAGTTTTTGAATCCTGGCAGTACAGACCTCCACTTCACTTCCTTGTTCCTAGAGCTGCTTGCACAGTGTCTTTTCTGAATTAATGGCTTACTCACTGTCCTGCAGCATGCCGTGCTCCCCAGACTGTAGACTGTGCTGCAGCCTGAATGGTCTCACCTCCAGTGCCTTCTCCCATGCCACTAGCATAGAAATCCCTGCATCATCGGAAAACTACCACTAGTTTCTAAAAGTTCTCCATTCCCTCACTTATATCATACATTCATAAAGTTTTTCATCAAAAATTATCAAATGCAAATTTTGTGCCAGTGATTGTGCTGGTGTTTAAGAATACAGAGGCTAGTTAAGGCAGCACATCAATTCAGGAGCTGAGAGACCTTTGTGGAGAGGCAGAGAATAATAAATATCAACAAGCAGGCAAATACAACCATGAAATTTGTGTTAAGGGACATGAGAGAAGAGAACACATTGCTCTGAATCAGAATGGTTGCTAAGATGGGCTCTAATTTAGATGGGGCACCTAATTTCTGTGGGATAAGTGAGGGAAAAAATTCTCTCTCTCTTTTTTTTTTTTTGGTGGTACTGAGCATTGAACTTAGGGTCCCTTGAGCTTGCTAGGCAGGCACTCTAGCACTTGAGCCATGCCCATGGTACTTTTTTGCTTTTTTAGAAAGGGTGTTATACTTTTGCCTGGACTGGCCTTGGACTGCAATCCTCCTACCTGTGCCTCCACATTGTCTGGATTAAAGGCATATGCCACCATGCACAGCTTGTTTCTGTGATAGAGTCTCTCCAGCTTTTGCCTGGGCTGGTCTTGAACCATAATCCTCCTGATCTCTACCTCCTGAGTACAGGCCTGTGCCACCATGCCTGGCCATTGAAAATCATTTTTAAGGGGGCAACATTTCAGGTGAGATCTGTAGAATAAAAATAACCAGCAAGGTGAAATATGGCATGATGGGAATGGGGGCTCTAGGGAGAATATATGGCACTTCAAAGGCTGGTAAAGCAGTGACCTTATCAGTGCAGTGACAGTGGCAACACTTGGTGTTGGTAGGCAGGGCCACACAATGCATGACTTTGGAGCACATGATAATGAGTGAGGGTTTTGTGCAATGGAAAGCAATTTCAGTGTTTTAAGTAGAGGAGGAACATGAGCTTATTCAAGGTTGAGACTCCATCTGTTCATCAAAATCTGTCTCTTCTCCCTGGGCATACAGCCAAATTATATTTCCTGGCCCTCAGCACAGTTGTCGGTTAGCCATGTTACTATATCCTACCCATGACAGTATAGGAATGGCAAATATCATGACTAGGGCTGACTTGTGAGTCTTCTATGCTTTTTCAACTTATATTGAAATGGCAAAGCAACTGTCATTTTAGATCCCTGCATGGCTCCGTGGAGCAGAAACGCCTCCTGGCCAACCCAGAACTGTCCTGTGTTTTTATGTGAGCAAGAAAGAAGCCCCTGAGGATTTGAGCCTGTGCATTTTGGTGCCATTTGTTAGCATATTCTTGTTCATTCAAATGAATGCAATGATTTGAGAGGGCAATTTTGATTGCTGTGAAACAGCGTGAACAGTAGCAGTGTCTGTAGTGAAGGTTTGCTGTGATGTGTGCTATGGAGATTTCAGTTGAAATAGATATTAAATAATTTTGGATGAATAGTCATTAGTTCCTACTGATATTTTGCTGCACCTAGTGAGATTATGAAAGAGAAAAAAAATCTTACTTAATTTGACTCTCATCAATCATATCACTTTTTGGACTTCTTATAGCACACCTTCCTAAAACATACCTTTAGGCATGTATTTTATTTGTTTGACTAAACTTCATCATGTGGAGGGCAGATGAACCATGTTTTGGGGAACATCTTGTTTTCTGTGCTGTCTAGTAGCGGTGCTTTACTTAAAGTGCTTTTCTCATTAAACTTTGTTTAAATTACTGAATAGAAAGAACAAACTATCCATCAAGGTATTGGAGATCATGTGATCCAGTGCTGCTATAACAAAATACCTAAAGCAGGTATTTTATAAAAGAGAGCTTATTTAGCTTGTGATTCTGATGACTGGGAGTTCAAAGAACATAGGGTCCCCTGACTATGATACTTCATGGTAGAGAAGCAGAAAGGGGAAACAGCTGAATACAGAAGGTGCCAAGCATCTGGGGTGCTTCACTTCCTAACACAGGATAAATGAGAACTGCATTTATCCTGTCTAAGGGTGGTGTCCCCATGACCTAATCAGCTTCCCCACCTCTAAATACTGTTACATTGGAGACCATGCGTCCCGCACATGGACTTTAGACAGCACGCTCAAACCATGTCTAAGCTATAGCACCAGCTCTCACATGGTGTCTCAACCTCATTTAAATATACTTGCCTTTCTAATGGGAAATGTTTAGCAGTGGGGAAAGCCACATCATGGGTCTGGGGTTGGAATGTTTGTTAGACTGTACAGAGAAGTGTTTTCAAAAGGCACATGGGCTAATCCTCTCTGACCTCCTTGCTACTTTCAAGTGGCTCCGATAGCTACTGCCCATTGTTCACAGTTGCTAACTGCTTTAGCGGCATTATTTCCATAGAGTCAGGGTCTCATCTGGGGAAATCATTAGGATGTATGAGGTCTTAAGATAGGAAGTTTCTATAATTCAAATGAACAATGATGAGGTTTGAAACCAAGGAAGTGGAAATAGGAGGAGGGAAGAAGAATAAAAAATTATGAAACATGGCAACTAAGGATTTGGGGAAAAGGAAAAACTAGAATAAGATGAATAATGAAATGTCTATGCTAATATATATGTGTAGATATATATATATACATATATTTCTAATATAAAGCCAGTCAGTGCTTTCTGCTACCAATGGATGGGTATTTGATAGAAGCTTAAAGAAGCTACTAAAAGGTAGTAATTATGAAGGCACTTTAGAACTCATTTTTCTCATCTATAAGTGGTAGGGGAGGGAGATGTAAATGAATTAAAAAATACTTAACACACATTGACGGTAGTTCCACATGGGTTATTATGGAAAATTAGAGATTTAGTTTATGCATTCCATAAGATGTTTTTGGGAGATATGTAAATATACTTCCTTTATAGTCTGATGAAATAGATATATTATATGATTTTTTATCATTACCTTGTGCAAACTTTGTATTCTACCTCATGAATTTTTTTCATTCCTGATAATACATGAATTTCTAACTTACATGAATTACTGATATGTAATAATAGCTTAATCATTTTAAAGAAAAAAAAACTTAATTTTCACAAATTATACTCTTGCCATTTGAAAACATGTACTTGTGAGCTGAAGATGATATCTCTTTCTAAAATTAACACATGTTATGCTTTCTCTAGGCTGGAATGATAAAAAGTGATAATGAAGAGTATTTCATTGAACCCTTGGAAAGAGGTAAGCAGATGGAGGAAGAAAAAGGAAGGATTCATGTCGTCTACAAGAGATCATCAGCAGAGCGGGATCCTATAGACATGTCCAAAGATTTCTATCCCAGAGGTAGGCATCTTTGTCGTGTCTTAATAATTAAGCATAATTTTGAGATATGGTGAAATCATTCCTCACATCAGTTTAGAGAATGTGATTGTCAGGTGCTCTTGTATAGTAAGGAGGCAGAAAAAGAAGTTTATATCTATAAATCATGTAGAATGGCTTTTCTTTTTAAAAAAATGCACAGTGGAGTACATGTTGTAGGTATTTTTTATTCTAGTGCATTATATAGCCAAAATATTTTATGGTTTCTTTTAGAAGTTTTACGTTTAAAACTATGTTTTTGTAGCTTATGTTAAAATTTGAAAATGTTTACATTTTCCAGAAGTATATAATTATACATTATTAGTGCTATTTTGAAAGTTCTTAAATGAGATATATTGGCATGGCAAAGACTTATGTTTTAAGACTAGAGTGATAGAACTGTTAAGTACTAGAAATACATATTAGGATATAACACTCTCCCTCTAAGTCTTGGCTTCTATTGAAATATCTAATATTTCTTTCTGAGGTAATCTTTAAATATTTTTTAGAAAAGCATAACCTTCTTCTATGGAACTGAATAGGAAAACTGAAAACCAGGTCACTCTCTGACTGTCCTTCCCTTTATCCTAACTATATGTCCATCATGCTGTACCCTATTACTTCATCTCAGACCCTGAAGGTATGTATTTCTGCAAACATCAGCCCTGATACTTTCCATAAGTGTGATATTTATAGGAAGGAGAAATTACTTTTTCTTTGAAACAAGAAATTATAAGAATTATTAAATAGAACAAGGAAGGGCTAGGAATGGAGCTCAGCGGTAGAGTACTTACTTCGCTTGCAGAAGGCCCTGAATTTGATCTCCAGCATTCCTCCTCCCCTCAAATGTAAATTATAATAGGGAAATAATTTAGTAGTCAGGAAATTTCCAACATTATTGTAGGAAATTATTCAAAATATCAGTTCATGTAACATCAACATAATCTGTTTACATTAAGGGCTATTTTTAAGAATGCAGATGTTGATGACTCTGTTTTGTTTTTTCAATCATGAGCAGAGGATTGACTTAGAGTAAAATTAGGCCACAAACTAGAGTAACACATTTTGGAAGGGTTTTCAGTAATCATGGGTGAAAGAAAATTAGTTGACGTTGTTACTTTAAAACTGGAACCAAAATAGGATCCCTCAGTTCTTAGAATGTTCTAACAGAAACTTTAATAAGAATTTAATAATTTTTATGTTCTTATTCATGAAGTGCTGATAGAATTGAGTTACTGATGATATCAATTTACCTTTTTGTGAGACTCTTAAATTGTAACCATTTATATCAGAAGTGTAACTTTCTTCTCTAGGGTAATAAGAGATTCAAATTCAGAAATTTAAGTACCACACTGTAGTTTTTAAATTCTTTTAACTTCTTATGAAAGTACTGAGCTAAGGAGGTATGTTGATTCATAAATAAAAACTGAAGTGGTATATAAAGCAGTGCTTTTCTGAATCACTTCAAGATGTTATTTTAGGACACATCTGAGACTCTTCTTTAATAAGCTACATAGTAAGAGGAATAAAATACTGCAGCCAAGTCTTAGAAAGAAATGCATTTGAGGACTATGTCTTCATAATTTTTTCTGACAGCAAGTCTTCAGGAGTATTGAACATGCCATTTCTGACCCTACAGGGTTTTGTTGGTAAGCCCTGTAAATACTCTGCCATAATTTGCTAGTTGTCGCAGTAATTGCCTGGCTACATTTCTTGTTTTGATAGTTTAGCTGCTCAGAAGTGCCATACATTTGGGCTCTGTTGTTTATTGTCAGGGTTCTAAATTAAAACTGATTAGGACCTGAACTAGTTGAGTAGCAAAGACATGGAGCAATGGAGCCAAGTGGAACAGAGATTAAGTAAAACTGATAGGGTTTTGTGATAGAGTAGATGTTGGGAGTGGAGGGGAGGAAGGGAGAAACCAAACATGTCTCAGAATTCTAATCTGGAAGACCAGAGAAATCTCTTTCCAGAAATAGTGTATATATAATGGGCAGCAGAAATAGGCTTCTTGGAAGATGATAGGTGGGTATAGTTTAAAGATCTACTGGAACAGTGAGCAAATTTTTAAAAACTTGGTGTATTTTCATTTTCATGTCTCAGGAGCAGTGCATGAATGGTCATATTTATATACGTGTTGTGGTTGGGATGGGATGAGTAGAGATTGTTTTGGGAGTCAGGTGGCAGGTATTGGCTTATGGGTGCTTGATCAGTCTCTGCTTGTCTTTTGCTCTTTTATTCCCAACTACATCACTGAGAATCTGAAGATGTGCATTTACAGATTTGTGAGCCCATAAAAGACATCTACTACCTACCACTATAGGTAAAGAGGATATTATGTCCTCAAAATCAAAAAATAAACCTAGGAAAAAACCCAAAAATGTACCTACCATATTCAAGAACCTTCACCTTTTTCAATTGACAGATGTAAACGTACATTTCTATTCCCCTTCTCTTAAGAATATTCATCTGAGTTTCTAATAAAAGTAGCATCTTTGAATCAAAATAATACATGATGGAATTCAAAAACAACTGCCATTAACTGACTCAAAATATAGCCCAGATTCTCTTTTCTTGCCTCTTAATAGGGAAGTTGTATTGCTTTTGAAATAAGTAAAAATATAAAAAGTAGTTTAGAAATATATAGAAGTAAGTAGTAAAATCACAGGTGCAGTGCTCTGCTTTAGAAATACTGTAGTTTAACATTTGGCGGTGTGAATCATGGTCAGTGTAGAGCTGGCAGGTGTTTGTAATACACAGCACTGCCAGAGTCTAGCAATGGAATGCCATCCTTTCAGTTAGACAACAGACATAAACTTCAGATGTTTATGATAAAGAAACTTGTCTACTTCATCATTGTGGGAGAGTTTAATTTGTTGCTTTCTCTGATTTCTGCTCTAGGAGTATGGGAAATCATATCTATTTTTTGGCATTTTTAGTTTAGACAGAATTATTTTCTAATTGACTCTGTTTTTGAAATTTTAATTGGTAGAAACATGAAATCATAAAGTTTACTTCCACTACTCAATCATTTGTCTAAACTCAGATACAAAACAAAATATGCTCCTGACCATTTCTTAAGAATGCTTACATCGTCATCATTAAGAGGTTTGCTCCAGGCAGTCTACTTTTGTGGGGAGGGGAAGCTGTACTTGCATGACATCATTCAGCTTTTCATATTTTTTATTTAATCCCTAGGCCCTTAGGCTTCTCCTCTCAAATTACAGACTATTCATTCACCAGAAGCTTTGTGTTAAAGTAATTTTTGTAATTGCTTCCTACCAGTGGGAAACAAGGAATTGTAAGCCATTATCTCCTAGCTTCCTTTCAGGATTTTCATTTTCCTGCGGGAACCCAAGTGCTTATGTGGCTGGTGTGGTTGTCATGGTGCTGTGAAGGAGTGTCTTTGTCCCAGGTGGGAAACATGGAGAAGTCAGAAATGATTTAGTAGTTGCTTCTGGTTGCTGGGGAATGAAACTATGAAATAGGAACCAGAATAATGGGAAGACTTTTATTTTAGTCATGCTAGGAACTTCCTAGGTGCAGATCCTTCCTTGAATCTAGAGGTGTCAATAGGTGCTCTTACCCTTTGTATTAGCAAGTTCTCATGACCTGTGCCCTGATCAAAGAGAATCATTGGTGGACTTTGTAATCTACCAAAAAAAAAAAATCAAGCAATAGAAATTTTAACATTTTGTTTTAGTACATGTAGCATGGAACATGATTTTACTACAATATTAAAATACTTCATGTAGAAACCATTCTTTTAGGGAGGCGTTAAATTATAAATTTTTTTGTAGCCACATTGTTTATAAGCTAATATAAGGGCCAATCATTTGTCCAGGCCTCTTCTATTGCATTTATATGAGGATACTAATCATATAGAAAATTTTCAGGTTTGTTTAGTAAATTTCATGATCTGCATATTTAAAAGAAATATTGAAAAATGTGAAGGTGTTATGGAGAGTGAGTTATTACTTGAAATATTCAAGAAGTAGAGTGAGAGAAGATTTTCAAATGTGAAACATGCAAGATAATACTTTATTTTTCTTTCATTAAAATGTTTACCTGGGCCTATTCTATCTTTGTATGAATAAGTATAGGTTCAATGAAAGGAGCTTGCTTATGAAATATAGATCAGAATTAATTTATTACAAGTGTAATGTCATGCTTTTTCCTAGTAAAAAATTGGATATAGAAACATTTGGACTGTTGAGACTTCAAGGATCTGGATTAATATTTAGTTATCGAAGAGATATTAATAGAGAAAGATAATTGGAATGTTTTAGCTGTATCTGTGTGTCTGAAGAGAAATTGAAGGCAGTGAATGTGTAATAGGGTAGAAGATGAACTTAGGTAATTTAAACCAACTTTTGATTCACGAATGAAATGATTGCCTCCTCAGAAGCAATTATATCCATTCATGGAAGAGCAAATCATACCAAGAAAAAGAGTTTGTTGTTATTTAAAATGTATTTGTTCTTTTTGAACATAAAATATATCCTGTTTTCAATATATGTGTTATGGTGTTTAGTTTCACTCATGACAACTGCTTTTGCTTAACAGGAATAGCCCTAGTTTTTGTAAAATATTAAAGTATATTTTGTCTTTGTGCCATATGTGCCTGTTTGAGTACTTTTTAAGGCCTGTACATATTTTTTTCTAGGTCTAATGATTCTTACAGTTTCATGTTAGCAAGAGGGAGCCATTTATGTAGGGAATCCAAATATTTCTAGAGATCGAATAATCTTTTATCACTTCTATTTCTAACTCATGTGATTGCTATTTTTATTTTTTTGTGATTGCTATTTTTGAAGAGGATACTTTGCTATGAATTGGATGTTATTTTTCTATCATTGTTTTATTTTCCTTGTTAGATCATTAGGCATTACCTTTAAATATAAAATGTATTCCTGAGGATCAATGCTGTTCTCTCCTGAATATGTTCAATATTTTGAAAAATACTTTTTGTGGGCCTTTTACAT